CCAGGCGGGTCTCGAACCCACGGGCTCAGGCAATCCACTCACCTCAGCCTCCCAAAGGCGCGGGATTACAGGCTGAGCCACCGAGCCCGGCTCCAAGCCCTTTCTAACCCTGCTCCTGTCCACTCTCCCGTAGGAGGAAGGAGGGGCCAGGAGGTGCTGCACATGAAGAAGCCCAGGGAGGAATCCCAGCCTGCCTCTGGAGGTGGGAAGTGGTCTGGGCTGCGCTGGGGCTGGCCCCTGGGTGTATCCTGGGAGGACCCTTTGTGGGCAGCAGAAGTAAAGGCACTGGCGGGGAGCAGAGCCTGGAGGGGCTCCCCACACGAACCTTTGCTCTGGATCAGCTGTTGGTTGTGAACACATTCTCCTAGGTGGGGGCCACGAGCAGCCACCATCTCGGGAGGTGTGCGAACATGGGGTGGCAGGGGTGGGCACTGCCACCCCTGGGTTCCAGCCAGGGTCAGAACCTCCGGGGTGCTCTTCCCTGTGCCAAGGGCGTGTTGACAGTAAATAAGGCGCTGCCTGGGAGGGAACTGGCTGGAAGTGGCTCTAGGCCTGGACTGTCCTGCCTGGACAAGTGTGGGGTAAGATTGCACCTGCAGGGTCCTGGGAGGGCACGTTCCAGGGAGAAGGAAGCAGACCATAGGCAGCTCCAGATCCTCACCCCGCTCAGCACCTGCAGCTCCCTGTGCCCGCAGGGAGGAGGGAGGGGAGGAGCCTGCAGGGAGGGGGTCACCACACCGGGCTGGACATGAGTTGGATGTCCCAGCTCAGGGCTTCAGGCTTGATCTCTGGACCAGCCCCTCCCGCCCCCCAGGGGGGTCTGGTCACTGCTCATTTCTGGGCCTCGGTGACCCCAGCTCTGGGATAGGAAGACTCTGTACCTCCTGTCCTCCCCTCTCCTCCCTAGGGCAGGGCCTGTAAGGCCTCTGAGAAACCTGACCCCACCCCATTCTCACCATTTCCCGTGGCTGGAATGCGCTCCACCCTCAGCACCTGCCTCAGGCCCCGGGGGTGCCCCACGCCCCAGGGCTCGTCCCCTTGTGCCTCTGGCCTGCTGGCTCTGATCTCAGCGCTCAGCTGCCCTCGGTTCCCTCCACCCCCTCTACTGGCCTGGATAGCAGAGTGGGGGAGGGAGGAGGGCTGGCTGTGTCCGGCTGGCTCCCCCTCACTCCACACACCCTGTTAGGAGCCTCTGGCTCTGCTTAGCTGTGGCCAGCCAGGCTGGTTTACTCCAGTGAGCTGGGGGGTGTGAGACTTCACCGGGCCAGGGAGAATGACCTTGGACCCGGAGATGTGGGGGTTCCTTTTGGTCCTCACACATCTGGACTTGGCCCACCCTTGCGGGACAGGCACAGGAGCCACACACAGGGCCTCCTCTCTGAAACTGACAGGGGTACACACCAACAGCTATGAGGACGCACATGCCCCTACGCCTGGACACTGGCCCTCACCCCAACTACACACACACATACTTTGTCACACTCAGACATGTGACATCACCCAAACACACACTCACACTGTGCTCTCCCTGTGAGCAGGCACACACATCTCCATCACTCCCAAGCACAAGCACAGACACATGCACCCTCGCCCTGAGGGTACAAGCATGCACACACAGTCACACATTTCCTTACCCCAGGGGAAGGTGGCGGCACTCCCCACCCCGGGCACAAACTCCCACCTACTTATGCGCACAGCACTCTGGCCCAGGATGCATACACGGCATGCACCCAGTGACATGACACACACAGGGTCACCTCTTTCTTCATGCTGGGAACGCTCTCGGCCACACTGCCAAACTCATCGCCCCAAGCGCACTTGATCACACACCTCCTCCTGCCGAGCGCTCTGGTGCACATTTCTCACACCCAGGAGTGTGCATGCATGTTGACCCTAGTTGGTGTGGGGGCTCTCTGGACTTGGGGTGTTCGCGGCAGGATCAGGGTGAGGACAGCTGCTCCCCAGCCCTCTCCTCTGGGGTAGCCTGGGCTGGGGACCTCCATCACCACCTGCAGAGGTGGCCTCTTGTCCAGGTGGCCCCACTGCATCACTCCACTGGACCAAGAGCCCCCAGGTCTCCTCAGGTCAGGTCCTCCTCTTTTTCTGAGGCGAGAAGCAGAGGCACCCGCAGCCCGCCCAGCTCCCCGCCTTGACTTCACCCGGTGGGGAAGGGGTGTACTCACTGACTCGGGGGTGGGTGATATAGTTTCGAGTGACCGCCTGCATGTGCTCCCGGGTTGTGCCCAGTTCACAGGCACTGCTGGGGAGCCCCCCAGGTCTGCTGTCTATCTTCATGGCCATGGTGCGGTGATGGAGTGTGAGCCAATTGCCTGAGCCTGCTGGTGGCAGCTCTGAGACTTCAGGCCCAGCTGGAGCTGGAGAGAGCTGCCCAGCCGGCCCCTGCGGCCACCCCTCCCTTCCCCTCTCCTCCCACTCCCTTCTCTCCTCCCCCAGGTTGACTGTAAACAAGGAAGCCTGGTGTTCCGGCTCCAAAGCCTTCCCCCCACACCCAGGCTGCACTGACCTGGGAGGGCCCTGGCTTCCGCGGTGCTGGAGGCTGTGGAGGGAGAAGGGCAGAGCAAGGAGGAAGGCCGGCTGTTTCCAGCCTCGGTGCCAGGCTGTTCCTCCCCACCCAGACCCAGGCCGTGGGAAAGCAGTTTCTCCTCCCCCTCCCCCCCGGAACTTCAGGTGCTCTCAACATTCCCACACCCACCCCTCACCACATCTCTTCCTGGTCTCCTCCCTACACTCGATTTCTGGCAGACGTCTTCTCCTTGCTGTCCCTCCAATCTGCCCTCACCCTGAGCCCCTTGCCCTGGCCATGTCTGGGTGCTTCTTCCTTCACACGATTTCACTATAATCTTCTTGAACATTCATAGAGAATTATTTCCTGATTAGTTTCAGTGCTACCTCCTACAGGAAGCCTTCCCTGGCTTCTGGATTCTCCACCCTAGATTCCCCCCACATCTGGTGTCTTTCCTATAGCATACCTTTTAGGAGGCGTGTTGCTGGTCCTTGGCACTGGACTGTGAGCCCCCAAAAGCTGAGCCTGTGTTTTTCCATCAGACCTGGGTCTCCTTAAGCCTATCTGTCTCACACTATCAAGAGCCTCCTGAGAATCAGGATGGGTCTCTCCATCTGATCTTAAGAACCTGTCTCACCTTCTGCTGGGTCCCATCCGGGTCCATGTATGGTGTGTCCAAATATCTGGAGTTAGAATTCAAGCTACGTCCATAGCCTGGCCTTGATACCCCTCCAGGACCTCACCACTGCTTCCCTCTCCGTGTCAGGTAGCTAAAGTCATGCTTTCTTCTAGCCAGTGGGGCACGGCACCGGTCTGCTGGGCAAGGCCGGGTAGATTCTGGGTGGTGTCTGAAACTGCCAAACCCAAGGTCTGCCCCAGTAGCCCCATTTCTGATTCCAGGCTCAGAATTCCCCACATTCCTAAGCTCCTCCCCAAACTATGCCACTAGAGCACAGGGAAGGGCGGCTTGTCTAGGGACCCTCGTCCCCCAGCATCCACTCTGGTGACTTGGGGGCTGCCCGTTTGAAACCAACACAACAGCTACTGTGTTTCCCAGAGGAGACTGGGGCAGACTGTGCTTTTGTGCCCACATGGTCAGAATCTCACCTGCATCCTCTGGCCTGAGGATCCATTTTGGGTCTCTGGTCCCTCTCTCATGAGTCCCATTCTTTTTTTTTTTTTTTGAGTTGGAGTCTCACTCTGTCTGCACACTGGAGTGCAGTGACACACTCATGGCCACCCCAGTGTCGACCTGCTGGGCTCAGGTGATCCTTCTGCCTCAGCCTTCCAAGTAGCTGGAACCACAGGTGTGCACTATCACGCCCGACTTATTTTTTTATTTATTTTAGAGGAGAGGTCTTGCCAAGTTGCCTGGGTTGGTCTTGAACTTGTGGGCTCAGGCAATCCCCTCACCTTGGCCTCCCAAAGTGCTGGGATTACAGCCTTGAACCACTGTGCCCAGCCCATGATTCCCGTTCTTTCCCTGTGGGGGATAAGGGGTGGGTGTGACCAGAAAGGGACAGCAGAAGGGAGGCCTATGTGGTGATGGAACAATTCAGTATCCTGATTACAGGGATGGTTTCATGAATCTACACATGGACACACAGTATCAATGTCCTGGTTTTGATATTATACGATCATTATGGAAGACACAACCACTGGGGGTAACTGTCCTATTTTTGCAATTTTCCGTATATCTACAATTATTGCAAAATAAAAAGTTAAAAAATTTTTTAAAAGCAAAAAAAAAAAAAAAAAAAAAGCCAGGCATGGTGACTCATGCCTGTAATCCCATTACTTTGGGAGGTGGAGGCAAGAGGATTGCCCGAGCCCAGAGGTTTGAGATCAGCCTTGTCTCTACAATAAATAAAAAAATTAGCCAGGCATGGTGACGTGCATCTGTGGTTCCAGCTACTTGGAAGGCTGAGGCGGAAGGATCTCCTGAGCCCAGCAGGTCGAGGCTGCAGTGGCCATGAGTGTGCCACTGCACTCCAGTCTGGCTGACAGAGTGAGACTCCAATTCAAAAAAAGAAGCAAAAAAATGAAGAGTGATTTTAAGGACTTCCTGTTGCAGTGTTTGTGATGGGTAGGCCCTCTCTAAATACACGGGGTCCTGCCTGGGTCTACCTTTGATGCCCTCTCTCCCCCTCTGGATCTTGATCTCACCTTCCATTGTTTACCCTCTTCAAAGTGACAATGTTTCCCCCTCAAGTGTTTTAATGCTTGAAAGAGAAGCTTGCAAAGGGCAATATTTAGCCAAGAATCTGTGTGGGTACCCTGGGCTGCCTCAGTGGAACTTCCGCTGAGTGGGAGTCGGGTGCCTGTTAACCCCTACCATGAGTACCCTGATCCCCAGTCCCCAGCCTCTTCCCTCTCCCACTTGAGGTACCTCTGGCTCTGAGCCCATCTTCCCTCCCGGGGACGAGGGGGATGGAAGGGACTGGCGAGCCAGTCAGTAGAGGTGCTGTGGGGACGGTTTCCCTTCTCGTCATCGCTTTCTGTTTATTTCAGTGAGAGACACACACACGCACACTGCACGCACACACACAAGCTGCGGGACCAAGGCCGTTTGGTCACAAGTCTCTGAGCCGAGGAGCAGGTGGGGGTGGCATGTGGTGGCCGCCCCTCCGCTCCCGACCCGCTCAGTGCAGTCCACTGGGGCACAGGAGGCTGGGAAGGTGCTGTGCTTGGGACTCAGTGTCACACGGAGGGCGGGAGTCTTAAGTGTTAGCTTTCTTGCTGCTGCCCGGGCTGCCTACTTTCCGTTCTAGCCAGCTGTAAGGCTCGAAGGCCGAGGAGCCCAGTTCGTAGCTGGCAGGTAGGTCCAGGAGAGGGGCCGAGGAAAAGCAGACAGCTGGCAGAGGGGGCAGCAGCGGGGGGGATGCCGAGGCCGAGGGCAGCGGGTTGAGGCGCGGGGAAGAGTTCCGGGGGCCACCCAAGGAGGTGCCCCTGTGGCTAGCAGGTAGGCTCGGCAGACCGGGAGTCAGTGCCAGGAGGCTGGGGGCCCTGGGCACGGAGAGCAGCCGGCCCTGCTCCAGCAGCCGCAGGATGTTGGAGGTGGCAAAGGCCTCGGAGGCCGAGGAGGACGCCCGCTTCTCCAGGTCTCTGCTCTGGTCTTTCTTCTGCTTGGTGCGGCGGTTCTGGAACCAGACCTTCACCTTGGGGCAGAGGGTGGGGAGGGGGTGTCAAGAAGGGGGGGCCAGGCGAAGCAGAGTGGGCCAGGTGGGAGGAGGAAAGGAGGGGAAGGGCATGGGGCCAGGGTGGGTGGTGGCAGGGTGGGTGTGGTGCGCAAGGGCGGAGTGAGGGGGAAAGAAGAGCAGACAGTCGTTAAGGTCTCCCCACAACCAGCCTGCTTGAGAGGAACCGATTAGGGGCTCTGGTCCCCCAAATTATGGACACCCCTCTGCTGCTAAAACTGACTCTGGCTTAGCATATGGAATGGACTGACAGATGGAGGGTGGAGTTTGGGCTATAACTGAAGTTCCTCGATTGAAGTATGGGCCAAGAGCCCACAGGCCCTCTGCTCTCAGCCAAGTTCGAGGCTTTGGGCATCCTGCTGTGCTGGTAATTCCCAACTCTACCCTGGGCCTGGGGCTTTGAACTGAGATCACGTATGCAACTGCCTCTCAGGCATCGCCCCATGCATGTCTCAAAAACACCTCAGGCCCCACACGTGCAGACCCAGCCCTTCCTCGAAACAGGGGCCTCCCAAGTTCCCCTCCACAATGGTCGCCTCCACCCACCACGTTGAAGCTCCTCTTCTCTTCCCCATGGCAAACTGTTCCCTCTTCCCTTGTCCTCTCTGACTTGGGCTGTGACACTGTCTCTACTGCAGTGCCTCTTGACCCTGGCTACCTGTGAGAGCCACCTGGGGAGCTTTAACCTCTCACTCACTCCTAACCTCAGCCAATCAGCTCAGAATGGGACCCAGGTCGTATGCAAAGCTCGCCAGGTGATTCCACAATTGAGGAAACCAGTCCTCTAAAGGTTTCTCAGCCCCAGGTCCAAACTCTATCTGCAGGGCTGGCAGCAAGAGGAAAACAGAAGCCTCTGGCCCACCCTGGCTCTGACTCACACTTGTATGGGTACCCCAGCTTGGTCACATTCTGCAAATAGCCCCCCAGTGCCCACTTCTTGAGCCTAGAGTTCTGAATAAAGTCTGTGGTCAGCCCTTGGGAGGACTGGCTTGGGAGAGGCTCAGGCAGGGAGTGGAAGGAGGCTCAGGGCTATTTGGCAGGGAATTCTGGAACCCTGGATGCTTAGGGGGTGGTCTAGAAGGTGGACACAGACTTTTGGAGGACACAGAGGAGGAGTCAAAGTGGAGCCCTCTGAAGCATGGATTCGAGGTCGGAGCCAGCTGCCCAGTCTGAGGGTAGTCTTGTCTTGCCCCATACTGCCTCTGGAGGGCGTTCTTTTTAACCCAATCTGGCCATTGCCTTGTTTGAACTTTCCAGCAACCCCTTCCCACCCCATCATCTACAAAAACCAAGCTTCTCAATGGATACCAAGTGTGACATGATGTGGCGGGTTGCTGAGGAGGATTTCTGATGGCCACACACTCTAAGCCGAGGACACAGAGCTACCAAGGATTCCACCAATGACAGGGCAGAGGCCTTTTTCTGGGCTTCTGAGAAAATGCAAAACCGGTCCCGTCACTTAGGAGCCAGCCCTGTGGGAAGCTCAGGGTCAGTCCCATGCCTGACCTTCATGGTGACAGAGGGCTCCTCCCCTCTCTGAGAGGGAGTGCTGCCTCCCACAGAAACAAGCTGCAGGGGTCCTGAAAGAATGTCTTGCAGGCACTGGAAGTGCCTGTGCGAATAGAGACTGGCATCACCTGCCCACCCCCACCATCTGGGAGACTGGTCAGGCCCCCACATCTGCAGGCCCCTGTCATGGGTGCCACCACAGGAGCAACCAGACTATGTCCCCAGGGACAGAGAGGACAACCTTGCTTCTCACCTGGAACATGCCAGGGGAAAGGGTGGAGACCAGGGAAGGAAGGGCGTGGAAAGAAAAGGATGGGAGGCCTCGCTGGTTCCTTCCAGCTTTCAGAGGATGCAAGAGTCTGGCAACTCCTGTGGCTCTAAGTGAAGATTCCAAGAGGTGAGCGGTGAAGGAGTTTGAAGCTGGAGGGCGGCCTGGGGGAGGAAAGAGGGCAGAGCTAAGGCAGACTGGGCCCCCGGGACTGTGCTGGACATCACTACATCACGGGAGCAACCAGCCCTCCAGCAAAGCCAGCAAAGTCCTCCAGAGAGCGAGGCCTGGGTGCCTCCAGTCCTCACGCCAGAAGGTGCCCAGTCGTTCAAAAAGATCATGGCCTCCCTGATGCCACTCGCTGCCCTCCCATCCTGGCAGAGGTGGCTGATGGGGGAAGAGGGCACAGGTAACTGAGAAGATCGCCTCCCTTCCCGGAGGCTGCACTGGGAGGCGTTAAGGACTGGGTGGGGATCCTTTTGTAGTTCATCAGCCTGATAACTGAGTTTTCATGTTCAGGCTCAAGCCTTGTCAGCCAGCAGTGAGTCAAGAAAGGCCCTTTTGAGGGGGGAGGCGGGCATAGGAGCAGGGGAGAAGATGAGATTTAAGCCAGATGTGAGTTTGGTATTCTAAAGGGGACTGGATTGAGTTTCAATAGCCAAAAGTGACCCAGAAAGTTACGGGATCTACTTGAGGTTAATTGCTTCATTCATTCATTCATTCATTCATGCATTCATTCATGCATTGAGTGCCTGCCACGTGCCAGGTGCTGGTCTAGGCTCTGGGCAGTCAGTGAACAGGGCAGAGCACATCCTCACCATGTGGAGTGGCCAGTGTAGTTGAAAGGCAGATGATGAACAGCAAACAGAAGCCAAAACGCACGTCTGTCAGTTGGCAGAGAGAGCTTAGAGCAGTGTTTCTCAAATGACTTGAGGTGAGGGACCGCTGCTTAAAGTTTTCCATTTTGCTGTGGACCAACATAATTTAAGTGACTCACTAGAAAGATTTCTCTATCTGTTTCTAAACACCCATTCTCCATGTCTTAACTTGTTGTGTACTTAACAGTGTGCGGGCTGGCACTGGTCCAAGGACCACACCTATGGGCACCGTTTTCAAGATAGAAGGCAGGATGGGGTGGCAAATAGAGCTTCTCTGAAGAGGGGCCTTTGAAGAATATATCAGCAGGAGATAATCAAGAGAGACTCAACCAAGTTTGGCTGAAGTCTGGCAGTGATTTGAAAGAAGAAAAGCCCTTCCTAGTCACCCTGGAATCCTCTTGCTCAGTGAAGCGGTGCCACCAGATCCTTGGGGACCGTGGCTCGGCATGTTGCTGCACCCCCACTGGGAAACCTCCATGAGCCCCTGAGCCTCAGTTTCTCACCTTTAAAAGGGGGACAATAATACTTGGGCCATTTCAGAGACTGAATAAGAAAACCCATGGAGAGAGCTTAGCATGGGGCCTGGCCCACCCGAAATGTGTATTTATTGTTACTATTCATTGTTTACCTTAACGGCTTCTAGCTCTGAACTACAGGGAGAGGAGAGATACAGATGCCATGACTCCTGCCCTCGGTGACACTAACTCACTCCCAGCACAGAGAGGGCAATTAGGTCCACAGGGAGTGATGGTAACGGGGGTGTGACCAATGAGGAACAGAGAAGTGTCTACAAGATGCTCTCCCCCACATCCCATCTTCAGGCAACTGTGGGTGTAGCAAGGAGAGGTGGGTGTGGGCTGGCACTTGGGTTTGGGAGTCTCCTGAGTAGGTGGGCCCTGGAAGAGGAGAAGAGGAGAAGTCAGAGGCAGGTGGAGCAGGGTGCTCATTTGCTGGCCATGTGGGGCTAGGTCAGGGATTCTGCACTCTGGTTGCATGCTGAAACTCCCTGGGGATGATGCCTTTAAATCAGAAGCTCGAGGGGGTGGGGCTGACGCGTCGGTATTTCTCTAAAGCTCTGTGGGTGACTCCAATGTGCTGAGGCCTTGCAAACCTCAAGGGTGAGAGTGGAAAGGCCTGCCTCTCTGCTTCTCACCATCAGTCCCACAGCACCTTGGGAGTTGGTTTCAGAAGGTCCAGCAAACATGGGACAAGCTGAGGGCGAGATAGGCTCAGGGCCTGCTGAACTGATTCCTCCTCTTCCTTTGGTTCCACCTCCGGGTCATCCTCTTCTCAGGGTTGAATCCAAAGTTACTGGTCTTTTCTTCTTCTAGGAAATCATTCCTAGCTGACCTCACAGGGTGGTGGGCCAGCACACCTTCTTTGTGGCCAACCTCTCCTTGTCTTTTCAGTGCCCTGTGTGGCCTCCCTGCAGACTGCCACCTTTTTTTTTTTTTTTTTGGAGATCGGTCTCACTCTGTCATCTAGGCTAGAGTGCAGTGGCATGATCATAGCTCATGGCAGCCTTGAATTCTTGGCCTCAAAGGAGCCTCCTGCCTCAGCCTCTCAAGTAGCTAGGACCCAAGAGTACACCACCGTACCAGGCTAATTAACAATACATATATTTTTTGAAGCCAGAATCTCACTATGTTGCCCAGGCTAGTCTTGACCTCCTGGCCTCAAGTGATCCTCTCGCCTCAGCCATTAGAATATCTGAGATTACAGGCATGAACCACCATGCTCAACTACAGGCTGCCACTTTGATTCCCCTGGAACTTGGTGAATGCCTGGTGGTTTCACTAGCTTCCTCCCAATCTCTTGCTGGGCCACACTGTGACCATGGCTACACATCACCAGAGGGGCACGGTTTCCACTTGGCTGCCAGGGTTACAAAGACATTTTCTGGGAGATAATCCATGAACTTCCTTTGGATTTATGGTCAGTATTAAATTCCAAGACTCACATTTACTTTGGAAATGATAGTCACTTATTTTGCGGGGGGAGTGTCTCACTCTGTCACCCGAGCTGGAGGGCAGTGGCACAATCACAGCTCACCACAGCCTCAACCTCTGGGCTTGGGCAATCCTTCTGCTTCAGCCTCCCAAGTCCCTGGGATTACAGGGGTGTACTATCACATCGGGCTAATTTTTTTATTTTTGTAGAAAAGAAAAAGAAAAGAGGTCTTGCTATGTTACCCAGGCTGATCTTGAACTCCTGGGCTCAAGCAATCCTCTCACCTTGGCCTCTCAGAGTGCTGCGATTATAGGCATGAACCACCACACCCAGCCTGACATTCACCTTTTAAATAC